TGCAATCTACACATTTGTTTTCTTTTTACTCCTCTCCTTTCAGTCATTCACTTACTTAATTATTTACTCATTTATTTATGTATTTACTATATGTATTTGAATATTAATAATTGAGAATTTTGGGGAAGGGAGGAGGACAACACAGATAAGAAAGCACTAATAAGAAAATGCTTAAGAAAATGTTATACTCATATGTGTAATAATTGTTTATATATATATTTTTTTATATTATAAATTTTTTTCTCTTCCTGCCTCTGGTCCACAGTGACATCCCGGTCCGTATTTGGTATGGTGGAGTTGAAATATGGGTGGGGGGAGATGATGTGGGGCATGAGGCATTTCTACCCGCCGTCTCTCTGAGCTCTTTCTTCCAGGATCTCTCACCTTAGCTGGTTCTGACATGCATGCCTCGTAATATGCATCACATATTAGCTAAAATACATGCACACCTAGTAAAATGCTTGGCATGTGTGTATGTATGCATGTATGTATGTGTATATGTGTGTACATATATATATTCTATAAAAAAAAAAAAAGGGAGACACATACAAAGGGTAAGTGGGCCGTGTGGGTGAGCTGGGTCCCTGGCCTGGGCTGCACTATGCGTCTCACCTTTTTAATGCATCACAAATTAGCTGAGACATATACAAGTCTATACATTAAAAAACATATGTAAATAAATAAATAACAGACATCTGAGACAAGCGTGGCATGCAGGTAGTGGCCATGGATGGCTGGTGTTTTGGGGAATGGGGGGGGGAGCTTTGGGTCCTGTTGCCCCGCAGCATCTTTCCAAGGCACTCCCGCTGAGGCGTGACATGGGCTTGGGATTAAGCTATGATATGTTGTTGCGACGGAGGGATCAGGGACAACCCTAATAATTTATTCAATATTTATTAATTTATAATTTATTACTATTATTAATAATATAATTTCTATTACTTGCATCCTTCACTGACCTTCCTAATCTTAATGAAATCCTTATTATTATTATGATTGTTGTTATAGTTATCTTTGTCATCATTATCGCTTACAATACTTGTTGTCGCCACTGGTCTTGTCATTTTTATTTTTTTTGTAGTTATACTTGTTATATCTGTTATAAATCTTTTAGATACTCAATGATTTGTATGCTTCCTCCCACACACTTACATACAATGACATGCACACACACACGCTCACAATTACAAGAATACACAAAATGGAAACTGGTCATGTTGAGCACACTGCATTATGGGATTTGCTATTCTATGCTGCATGGGTCTGCTCTTGTAGACTTGGAAATATATGTCATCCATGTATTCCAAAGTACTGTACACTGCAGAAATAGACTAGTACAGTAGTATGATATTCCAAACATAGCCCTTACGCGTTCTTACTAACGAGGACACGCTAACAGAATGTGAGGCTCCCTTGTGGGACATTAGTGAGGTCAGATGAGTACGGGGAAACCTACCTGCTCATCACTGCGATGGTAGTCATTGTCCTCCTCTGCTTTCTCGTCTCCTGCTTCCTTATTGGCTGGATCTTCTGATTTCAGGTCCCCTGGTGGGGTAAAATGTAAAAAAAAAATATTTACAAGAGAGTCCCCAGACAACCATAAGAACCACCGTTTTGTGCACATCCATCTCTCCATAATTCTGCTTTTAAAAATACTGTAGTACATGCATTTATCTTTCCAAACATCATCTTCGCATTATAAAACAATCAATGTTTAATCATTATTCGTATTAAGATTCCAAGAATTTGTAATTCATTGCTTCTCAGAGCTGGAATTATATTGAGTACAAGTTTGTGACTCTGGGAAGAGTTTCTTCATTACACAGTGAAGAAACATTCATCAAGCACAAAAAAAGCAATTATCTCAACCTGCTCCCCCACGCATTTGCCAGTCTCCAAAACAAGTCTGCACCTCATCAATGGAAACAGATTAATTTGTGATTCAACCTGCCCAAAGAACGCTTCACACCTCAGACAGGCAGACAGCTGCCCACTGATCAGGTCAGAAACTAGGGCTGCATCTCATTACAGTTTTATGGAAGCCTAAAAATACTCTCCTTTATTAATATTGATGAGAGGGATCCAATGAAACCTTTTCAAAAGTTTGGGGTCAATAAGATTTCTTTAAAAAAAATTTAAATACAATCAATACTTTTATTCAGCAAAATGCATTAATCAAAAGTGGCAGGAAAGATGTTTAAACGTATTACGTTTATAATGTTACAAATGATTTATATTTCAAGCAAATGCTGTTTTTTTTTACTTTCCATTCATCAAAGAATCCTGAAAAAAAAATGTATTAAGGTTCCCGCAAAGGTATTAAGCAGCACAACTGTTTTCAACATTGATTATAATAAAAATGTTTCTTGAGTCAAATCTTGAGGCACATTATAATAATTTCTGAAGGATCATATGACAAAGACCAGAGTAATAATACTGAAAAATTCAGCTTTGCATCACAGGAATAAATTACATTTTAAAATATATTAAAACAAATGAGTGATTTTAACTTACAAGAAAATTTCACAATATTACTGTTTTTTTATATATTTTTTTTTTTTTACAAAAAAAATGCAGCCTTGTTGAGCATGAGATATCTTTTCTATATTATTCAAAAATACAATCTTACTGACCTTTTTTTCTGTGGCTGTTGACAACAGGCTACAGATGCTGCCAATATAGTTTAAGCTGCATTTAACTATGAATTTCCTCCATTTAAATTCTTAAAACAAAATTTACTTTAAATATCACCAAAACTGGCCAACGCAGGAGGGAATTTGATACATGCGACCAGTCCAGTCGAGTGTGGTTTATTATACTTATTTTATTGCATTTCAATTGAACGACTGTCCACACACCCTCATGGTTTTGTATGAGGAGCTGTCAAACATAACTATGACATTGTCATTGCATCACCAGAAATCTCAACCGCAGTAATGGGAAAGGGAAAGAGATTTCGTGCATCTGGACGAAATGCAGTCTGGGTTCAGTCGTTCTTAAGCCTTGACTGCTACAGTGATGGCTTGTTCCCAGGACACTCAGAAATTATAGTTAAATAGTTAATAGTTAACGATAGTTAAAATGTTCCCTGACTGGGAAAAAGTTCACGGAGTCTGGGCTAATCTGCAGCAAGAAGACTGTGAAGAAAAGAAAAAGCAGGACTTCCAGCAAAATAAGTTTCGTTAGGGTGTTTAATAGATGAGGTCCCTCTATAAAGCTGTCTGTGGATGAGGTGCACAAGCTCAGGTAGAAATTTTACCATGCTTTCCAGAAGGGTGACTTAAGTCTGGTTAATATCCACTGTGATGGGATTTGAGAAGCACCATCAGGTACCCTACCATGGCAGATTCAGAGCAGCCCTCTCTAAAATCACCTTATAAAAGCACACCTGTGACACCAGGCCAGAAAAGCATTTTCAATGCTCATAACACTCATAAATAAAGGCTATCATGCTTATTTGTGGGCAGGTAATGCAGACAGTTAAGTCATCATTTCACCACGTGCTTCTCCTCTTGGTTCAGTTTGATGGTTCTGTGGTGTGCTTGAGGACTGAAGACTTCAAATGAAGTATTATTCCGAAAACAAACAGTTCTGCTAAACTAGCTGAGACAATGTGGAACAAGAGACCACTTACATCTGAGCCTTATTTACTACAATGCATGAATCTATCCAGCCATTACGACTGCTGACTCAGCCTGCCTGAGGGCCAGTATTTGCACAGACTGTATCACTGAACACGGTACTGAAAGATGAAAAGAGCAAGATACTGCCTGGGTTTAGATTACTCTTTCCTCAAATGAAAGGTAAGGGCCTGTTTACCACCGAATAAACCAAAATAATGTGCTTGTTTAGAGTCTAGAGGCTTTCAAACATTCTTTCCTCATTCTTCAATTCCTTTAGACTAATATAATAAAAGAACAATTCTAGGCAACATAAGAAATGATGTTTTGTGCAAACAGAAGTTAAGCTGTAATGTGAAAATTTAAGCATGTTTGTACACCAATTTTCTTCACTGTAAAAAAAAGAAAAAAGAAAAGGTCTCTTATGCTTCCCATTTATTTGATATAGTACCATTTAAAATAACTGTTTTCTGTTTTAATACATTTTAAAATATAATTTATTCCCGTGATGCAAAGTGGAATTTTCAGTATCATTACTCTAGTCTTCAATGCCACATGATCTTTCAGAAATCATTATAATATGCTGATTTGCTGCTCAAGAAACATTTCTTTTTATTATCAATGTTAAGAAATAGTTGTGCTTCTTAATGTTTTTGTGGAAACCATTATACATTTTTTCATGATTCGTTGATGAAAGAACAGCATTTATTTGAAATATAAAACTTTTTTAACATTATAAATGCTTTTACAGTCACTTCTGATAAATTTTAATATACACACTGTCCCACTTCCTCTGTGATCATAGATGGACTGTACCACCTACAGCAGTTAAAGAGAGCTGGGACGTACCATTGCGCTGTAAGTCCAGGGGGGTTTTCATGTTACACAGCTCTCCTTTGATGTCTCCAGGCACCTCCATGCCCAACTTCTGATAAAATTCTCTCTGTTTTTTCATCTCCGCTGCACACAAGAAAGCAAAGAGGAAAAATATAAAGCCTTACTGTTAAAATCTTACACATCATTAGCTGCTTCATAAAATATGCTTTACATAAGAAAAAAATAATCAGATGAGGGTATTTTTGTTACCAGTTCACATGGATCGTAGGGATTGTATTTCTAAAACATCAAAAAAAATAAATAAAAGAGACAAACCTTCTTGCAGTCCTGGCACCAACTTATAGACAATATCTTGCATTGTTCGGTCATGGCTGAGGGAAAGGGAGAAACGGAAATTAATATAATTTATTCAAACAATATGCCTTATTACACCAAGAAACACAGCTGAAGGACAAGAAAGAAATGCACAAAAATGAACACCAAGAAAATTGCAATTCGCATTTGCATTCAGCAGGCACGTTCCCTCATAACTATGATTGTTAAGTAGCATATAGTGTAGTTCTTCCTCATGTCTCTAATTCTCCCGTGACTGGCGGTTCCCAGGGCTCGGAGGTAAAACCTATTAAGCGTGTGTTGACATGTTCATCTCTGTGGCGCCTCTGGTACGGCTGCCCACCTCCGAGAACATGTTACCATGCCACAAAACCCACGAGTGCCGGTTCCAAGCAGCCAACAGCCAAAACAAGCACCCGCTTTGAGATTCACAGCTCTTGTTGTGTAGCTTATACTTTCTGGGACACTGTAAATGAACTCTGAAAAAATGTGAAACTTTACAGGCATTTAACTCATTTAAACCTCATGAAACATGTCAAGAAGATTGACATAAAACCTTTAAGTGATAGTTCACCCAAAAGTGAAAACTCTGTCATTAATTACTCACCCTTGTGTCGTTCCAAACCCGTAAGACCTTCGTTCATCTTCAGAACACAAATCAAGATATTTTTTGTTGAAATCTGAGAGCTTTCTGACCCTGCATAGACAGCAATGCAACTGACATGTTCAAGTCCCAGAAATGTAGCAAGGACATCGGTAAAATAGTCCATGTGACATCAGTGGTTCAACCATAATTTTATGTAGCTACAATAATACTTTTTGTGAGCAAAGAGAACAAAAATAACGACTTTATTCAACAATTATTTTCTTCTGGGTCATTCTCCGCTGCGCATTCAAGAGAGTACCACAACTCCTGGCATCGTGGTACTCTTGTGAACATGCGTCAAAGACCAACACGGAAGAAATCGTTGACTGGATTTTTTTTTCTCATTTTGTCTCTCATAGTTGAGGTATACCTATGATGAAAATTACAGGCCTCTCTCATCTTTTTAAGTGGGAGAACTTGCACAATTGGTGGCTGACTAAATACTTTTTTTCCCCACTGTAGCTACAATAATACTTTTTGTGAGCAAAGAAAACAAAAATAACGACTTTATTCAACAATTATTTTCTTCTGGGTCATTCTCCGCTGCGCATTCAAGAGAGTACCACAACTCCTGGCATCGTGGTACTCTTGTGAACATGCGTCAAAGACCAACACGGAAGAAATCGTTGAATAAAGTTTTATTTTTTTTCTTTGCGCACAAAAAGTATTGTAAGAACATTGTAGTTGTGTTGCTGTCTATGGAGGGTCAGAAAGCTCTCGGATTTCATCAAAAATATATTGCTTTGTGTTCAGAAGATGAACGAAGGTCTTACGGTTTGGAACGACATGAGGATGAGTAACTAATGACATGCAGTGACATTATTTTCATGAAAATTAAGAACATTTATTCCTGTTTTGTCAAATCCTAAATCTCAGCAGTCATTCCTCCAGTCTTCAGGGTTACGTGATCCTTCAGAAATCATTATAATATGCTGATTTGGTGCTCAAGAACATTTCTTATTATTATCAATGTTGAAAACCGTTGGGCTGCTCAAAACTAACATTTTAGTTTTTCAGAATTCTTTGATGAGAAGCAAGTATAATTAAAACAGTCAAATTAATTAATGATGTGATGAAAATAATGTCACAATGCAACAAAAAACATTACATTTTTTTCCCTCAATATTTTTGGGTCTAGTTTAGTGTATGAGCCCTTGTGGCAGGTCGGTTCCTCTTAATAGCACATAATGACTCAGACCAGTTGGAAACTGATCTTAGATATGCCCTCGTGCCACTTTGAGAATACAGGCCGCATTCTGTGTCAGAGTCCAGCTCGCTGTTAGCTGATCTGCTCCCCGAGGGCACGATGAGAGAGAAAGAGAGACAGAGAGAGATCAGGATTGTGAGGCAGCGAAGCACCTGTGTCCCTGGTGCACAGCCAGAGCCGCCACCTGTTCCCAAATGCCTGGTGAGGAAGGTAGAGGTCCAATTAGCCGCCACAGAGCTTCCACAGAGGGGGCCAGAAGGCCTGGTGGTGAGGGGGTAACTGGCATTTAGCTAGCTGATCAACAAAAGCTCCGTTTTGTGTGTGTGTGTGTGGGTGTATGTTTGCTCAAGTGCGAGAGAGAGCTGAGGATCAATGAGCTGCCACTGTTAATACAGACAAATCCAGTTGTCATTCACGATCAAACAGTGTGGCTCGTAAACACCGGGGTGTTAAACTAAGGTCAGATTAATCATGCAGAGAGGGAGGCAAGCTGGTTTGATGGCGTACGACGTAATGTAACTGACCCCGAACTCTTATATTGTCTCTTCCTCTCGTATCCCACACGGCTTTCATCTACCAGCAAGGCTGGGGCAACTCTTTTCCGCCCCATTCAGAAGGAAGCACTGGAACTGTGGTGAATATTTAATGTGTTTGAAAATTGTTTCTCATCAGCGAGCAACTGCAAGCTTCTATGCTGCTAAATGACAGCCTGCTAAATGACAGCTCAGCGCACCAGCGGATCCATCAGACACAGAGGCACCAATGCTCAGGGGGCAGATGGACACCACACCCCGACAGTTTACACACACCTACACACTGAGCACATCTGCGCGTGTCTCTCAGCAGCAGTTTCTGCTCACGGCATAAAAGGTGAAGGCCTTTTCCTGTTGAAACAGGCTTGTTTGGTCAACTCTTAAGAGTACACATGCATACAGATGACCTCAAAGCTTACATGGGCTACGAGTCACATAAGACTTAAAGGATTAGTTCACTTCCAGAATAAATTTTTTTTTTAAATTATCATAATTTACTCACCCCCATGACATTCAAGATGTTCATGTCTTTCCTTCTTCAGTTGAAAAGAAATGAAGGTTTTTGAGGAAAACATTCGAGGATTTTTCTCCATATAGTGGACGGGTTAAAGGTCCAAAGTGCAGTTTCAAAGGGCTCTACACGATCCCAGCCGAGGAATAAGGGTCTTATCGAGCGAAACAATCGGATCGGTCCTTTTACTAAAAAAAGAAAAAATGATATACTTTATCCACAAATGCTCGTCTTGCACTAGCTCGACTTCACGCATTACATAGTCACGTTGGAAAGATCACGTGTGGCGGAAGTACTGACCCAGAGCGAACGTGCAAAGAAAGTTAAACAACCTTTACAAAAAAAGATAAAACAACGATGTCGGATGATTGTGAAGTTGGAGGAGAAACTGAGATGGAGTTTTTCACCCTACCCTACGTTTTAGAACCAAAGTACACAGACGAAGAACTAACCACACGTGACCTTTTCAACGTGATTACGTAATACATGAAGTCGCACACGCATCGCAGAGCTAGTGCAAGACGAGCATTTGGGGTTAAACAGTATATAAATTGTAATTTTTTTCTTTTACCGATCATTCCGCTAGATAAGACACTTATTCCTCGGCTGGCATCGTGTAGAGCCCTTTGCAGTTGCATTGAAAATGCAATTGGGACCTTCAACCCGTTGGTTTTCATTGAAGTCCACTATATGGAGAAAAATCCTGGAATGTTTTCCTCAAACACCTTAATTTCTTTTCGACTGAAGAAAGAAAGGCATGAACACCTTGGATGACAAGATGTCTTCCAGGCAAAAATCATCACTCAGTAACAGTCCAATCAAGTAATAACTCTCCTCAACAAGCGGCTTTCAAAAAGTAAAAATTATGCTTTCCACTATCTCTTTGTTTTTGCTACAGAGTCTTCAAGACTTATGACTATGTAATAACATAGTCACGTTGGAAAGATCACGTGTGGCGGAAGTACTGACCCAGAGCGAACGTGCAAAGAAAGTTAAACAACCTTTACAAAAAAAGATAAAACAACGATGTCGGATGATTGTGAAGTTGGAGGAGAAACTGAGATGGAGTTTTTCACCCTACCCTACGTTTTAGAACCAAAGTACACAGACGAAGAACTAACCACACGTGACCTTTTCAACGTGATTACGTAATACATGAAGTCGCACACGCATCGCAGAGCTAGTGCAAGACGAGCATTTGGGGTTAAACAGTATATAAATTGTAATTTTTTTCTTTTACCGATCATTCCGCTAGATAAGACACTTATTCCTCGGCTGGCATCGTGTAGAGCCCTTTGCAGTTGCATTGAAAATGCAATTGGGACCTTCAACCCGTTGGTTTTCATTGAAGTCCACTATATGGAGAAAAATCCTGGAATGTTTTCCTCAAACACCTTAATTTCTTTTCGACTGAAGAAAGAAAGGCATGAACACCTTGGATGACAAGATGTCTTCCAGGCAAAAATCATCACTCAGTAACAGTCCAATCAAGTAATAACTCTCCTCAACAAGCGGCTTTCAAAAAGTAAAAATTATGCTTTCCACTATCTCTTTGTTTTTGCTACAGAGTCTTCAAGACTTATGACTATGTAATAGACTATGTAATTTACCCACATAAGATTGGCAAACTTCTCATGCGACACTGTTCAGGGGTGAGTGAGAATTTTACAAGTTTTAACTGCATTTTTAACCAAATAAACGAAGCCTTGGTGGGTTTTTTTAAACATAAAAAAAAGTGTCGTGAATGTATCCCCCCCCCCCTTCCTGATTTCTTATTTTTTTGCATGTTTGTCACACTTTAATGTTTCAGATCATCAAACAAATTTAAATATTAGTAAAAGATAACACAAGTGAACACAACATGCAGTTTTTAAATGAAGGTTTTTATTATTAAGGGAAAACAAAATCCTAAACTACATGGCCCTGTGTGAAAAAGTGTTTGCCCCCTAAACCTAATAACTGGTTGGGCCACCCTTAGCAGCAACAACTGCAATCAAGCGTTTGCGATAACTTGCAATGAGTCTGTTACAGCGCTGTGGAGGAATTTTGGTCCACTCATCTATGCAGAATTGTTGTAATTCAGCCACATTGGAGGGTTTTCGAGCATGAACCGCCTTTTTAAGGTCATGCCACAGCATTTCAATAGGATTCAGGTCAGGACTTTGACTAGGCCACTCCAAAGTCTTCATTTTGTTTTTCTTCAGCCATTCAGAGGTGGACTTGCTGGTGTGTTTTGGATCATTGTCCTGCTGCAGAACCCAAGTTCGCTTCAGCTTGAGGTCACGAACAGATGGCCGGACATTCTCCTTCAGGATTTTTTGGTAAACAGCAGAATTCATGGTTCCATTTATCACAGCAAGTCTTCCAGGTCCTGAAGCAGCAAAACAGCCCCAGACCATCACACTACCACCACCATATTTTACTGTTGGTATGATGTTCTTTTTCTGAAATGCAGTGTTACTTTTACGCCAGACGTAATGGGACACACACCTTCCAAAAAGATCAACTTTTGTCTTGTCAGTCCGCAGAGTATTTTCCCAAAAGTCTTGGGGATCATCAAGATGTTTTCTGGCAAAACTGAGACGAGCCTTTATGTTCTTTTTGCTCAGCAGCGGTTTTCGTCTTGGAACTCTGCCATGCAGACCATTTTTGCCCAGTCTCTTTCTTATGGTGGAGTCATGAACACTGACCTTAACTGAGGCAAGTGAGGCCTGCAGTTCTTTGGATGTTGTTGTGGGGTCTTGTTTTGGGCGGGCTTTTGTGAGCTTTTGGGCTGGAAATCATCCATTCAATCTGGCAACACTGTTCACAGCCACTTCCTCTCATACCAGAAATAAAATGGTGCAAAATCCTGCACTGTCGTGATAAACAAACACCCTGCAGTTGTAATCATGACTTTCCATGTGGCAGTTCTACCCTGATTCACAGTGTGGATTTGTAGTAAACCTGCAGCCGATGGTTTAGCACAGCTGCTGCACTTAAAATTATATCATTTGGTGCGATTCAGTTCCAGAAGTGCGTAAAACTTTCAGGTCACATCAGCAGATGTTTTCTCTGGGATGTGTGTGCTGGAGAGGAACACTCTACCCTGGACATCAATAATTCACCCTCCAACAAAGACAGCTGGAGGGAGCCACGTCGCCTTCAAATACCCATGTGGCTGCACGACACGCAACTAACATGCCAGAAGCCAGCAGTCAAAGACTATGCTATTCACCGGTGTGCCTTGATGGACCCCTACTGGGCAGCTCTGGGGTTTACATTGATTGAGACGTGTTTGTCTACTGCGGTAAACTCTTACCCTATGTACTGCAGCGGATGGCTCTGGTGAATGACAATCCGACATGTGGGACACGTGTTGTTCTCTTCTAGGTACTTCACCAAACAGCTCCTGCAGACTATATATATACACAAACACACACAATTTATACACCTTTAGTAAATTGATTCATTCTGTGCGCATCACATTATATGTCACAATGATAATTCTACTGATTTCCAAAAGTCAAGAATGTCACATTGATGTAAATTTGTTCAAATGACTCGGCACAAACCCAGAGGCAAAAAATAAAACTAATAGCCCTTCTAGTTTTAGGACTCAAACTACTAAAGCATAATTTCAAAGGCTCTTGATCTGTGGCACAATGACTCCCTCTAGTGTTCAATTCAAAAACTAGCTTGACATGCTATACTTAATCTGAACAATACAAATTATTTTTCCACATCTTTTTGTGGTTTAAACCACATTACTTTTACAAAAGGAGATTCTGAGTCAGATCCTTTTTAATAAAGCGGTCAATCTGGTTCACAAAAACTGTCCTAAATGATTTGTTCACTGATAATCTTCCCATTAATTGTGCTCTTAATCCTGCAACAGCGTCATCGAGCCAGTGAGTTGAGCGTAAAACAGTCTGATTCAACAACGAATCATTGGGACCTGGTTTTGTGAACCAAATCATTCTCTGGAAAAGATTTGACTCCAACGAACCATTTGTTAACATCTCTGCTGCTCACCTGAACACGCCACTGAGAGCCAGGTTAAATCAAGGCTTCATTACACAGAAATGTGGGTCTGTTTGTCCCAAAGTTATCATTTGGTTTAAAAAGACTTGGAATATAGTCATTTGGACCACTTTTATAAAACTTTTTTTGTCATTTTATGTCACCATGTTCTTTATAAGGACAAGAGTGGCCAGGATATTCTTTAAAATTCACTATTTATGAGCCCAAAAAATAAACCCCTTGGTTTCACAGACAAGGCTTAAACCTAGCTGTTTCAGCTGAAAGAAACTTGCACTGACCAATCTTAAAATACATCAGTGCCTTTGCTTTGTCTCGAGATGCACACTAGTAATGTTTTTTTTCTAAGGCACGTTTATAAAAATTACTTGAATGTCTTAATTGAACTATGGCCGCCGCCTAATCCTGGCTTAGTCTAAGCCCTGTCTGTGAAACCAGGCCAAAGAGTCTTAAAAGTAAATGAACAATTAAGTCCAATTTTAATTTTTAGGTAAAGCAGCACTTCTGCACACAATAATATCTGTAGACAATAGCGATTCAAAATGTCGTTCATAACTGAAATAAAGACTAGATATTGGTATAGCAATAACACTTACAGGTGTGTAAGCACTCAGTGACCGTGGTGGCGTCGATCAGGTACCCCTCACACAGACGACAGGTGATGTGGGCATTGATGTCCCACAGTTTAATCTTCCTGGTTAACATCTCGGGGTTCTGGATGAGAAAGAAAGGGAGGAAAAAGAGGTTAAAGTATTTCACAACACATAAAACAACAATCCAATCCTCAGGCTGAAGGAACAGGGGTCAGGAGGGTGATCTCAAAGATCACTAAGGTCAACCATATAAACCCAACTATTAGGTTGCCTTCATTCATTACATTAAAAACAAAGGTCAAAAACAAGTGTTAGTTCTTTTTCATGTTTAAAGTGTAGTCATGTTTTTCATTTGGTTAAATCCTTGCTCCAATTTCAAAGACAATGTTGTTTGTTTAGAGACGTCCCATGTGAAGCAGCCAGACGACTATATTGACCAGACATGTTATACACTGAAGTACAATCCGTGTCAGGACACATGCTGCTCATATTCAATACAGATTATTCACCACTCCAGCAGCCCACTGGAAAGAAAATAATTAGATCTATGTTGCTTCAATATTTGTGATTCAGCTTTTAAGGAAAATTTGTGTTAGAACCAAGTGGGAATTTGCACAATATCATCCATTAAAATTTAATGTAGTGAATGGTCAGAGATTGTATGAAACCCCTGTTTTAATATATATCAATTTTGATATTTGTATTAAAGTTGAAATACCTAGATATTACACAAACTTCAACATTAAAGTCAGCATACCCTATTTACCCAACATACCCCCGTCTCATTGTTTCTCAGTGCATGTTACTCCAGGTTTAAAGGATTTTTTAAATAATATTAACAAAAAAAATTTAAATAATAAAAAATTTGATAACCTATAATATGTTTTTGTTTAAAATTATAATTATGTCTAAGTAGCATTTTAAAAATTATGAAGACTTTTTTTTCTTTTGGAATAAAGTGCACTGATAACTTATGAAATTACAAAAACTCTGAATGGTATCTGCACGTTGGTGTTGATTGGAATTGAAGTAATTGCAGGAAAGTGTGTAGAAGATGAAAGAGAAGCACTGCAAGCACCACAAGCTATGTTTACATCCCCCTATTTTTATGCACATTTTTGGAATATGGCAGAATATATGCACATCAAAAAAGTCATGTGACTTTGCACGATGGGACTGGAATAACTTGACTAACCAGCGGACCGATCTAGTCACACAGCATCTGTTGTTTTGGTTGTTCTGAAATGCCTGAGCAAAGTCTGTCATCAAAGTATTTCTGTATAATTGTCTTACAGTTACACGACTGTGTTCCCAAACAGCAGGCATCCACCTCCGAAAGCAATGACAGCATTTATTGTGTCTGCTCGCTCTGAGGCGCAAGTAATTCATCATATATGAAAATTATTGTATTGAATGGCTTCTCCTACTTATGTTAGTGATATTTAGTGCCAGTTTATCAGGAAGTGACGATTTTGTTCTGTTTGACTCGTTGGATGGAAACGGTGTTTTATTCGCAAATGTTTTATGCGATATTCTAGTTTTGTGCACAAGTTAAATTCGAATCTTTGGATGGAAACATAGCTAATGAGATTAAATGTGTTCAGTAAGGCATAACCACAGGTGTTTTATGTTATGGCACTTTCTCATAAAAGATTTTCAAACCTCAGTCATGAATTCAGCCACCAGCCAAGTTGCAATAACATAATCAGTGTAGTGCAGTGTCAAATGAGGAAAGAGAACTGCCACGGGCTGCAGTGAATATTACACTCTCGCATTAGTGGGCTTCAATAAAAGTTGGAGCTTCAAAGCCATTAATTTACCCATGAGTCTAAAGGCATTATTCGTAGGGGGGGAAAAAAAGAAGTTAAATCCAAGTATTAAGAAAACAGTAAACCAGGATCATGGATATCAAATGGATATCAGATGTCACAATATAATTTTTAGTTAATAACTTGCTTTAGAATAGACAAAATGTTACATGGTTTGACCGCTGCAGTTTTTGAATTAAACGAGCACAAATTAAGTTTGTGAGCTCCAGCAGAGGAGACGATTATCAGTGAATAAAGGCATAAATTTCAGAACATAAAAGAATATGATCTTTGAATATAACACATGATGAGTCATATGGATTACTATAACTGGAACTTTCAAAGTAGAATAAATCACCATTTACTTTTGTTGTAAATAATAAGAAGCTTAGACATTCCACACAACATCTCTATTCAAGAGGAGATCAAATTTGGGGGTGAAACATTTAAGATTGTTAAAGGAATATTCACTCAAAAATTACAATCTGCTGAAAATGTACCCTCTGCATTGAATGGGTACCATCAGAAAGAGTTCAAATAACTGAAAAAATCAGCACAATAATGCACAACTAATCCACACGACTCCAGTCCATCAATTACCATCTTGTGAAGCGGAAACCTGCATCTCTGTACTAAACAAATCTATCAAGATGTTTTTAACTTCAAACAATTGCTTCTGGCTAAAAAAAACTTCTATCAAATCACTTTCATTGAAGCAGTGAAACAGATCAAAAGTGAAACAGATCAAGTACAGTTTACAAGTGAAAAAAGTCCAAAACAACTGTCAGTGGATTTTGATGTGAGAGGACAACAGGGGATGGACTTTTACACTGTGTCTACACCGGACTCGAGCGCCGCTGTGTGCGTGTGACAAAATACTATAGAACCAATTATAATCAGTGATGCTGTCTACACTGGATGCGGCACAACACGGCAAATCCCCGACAGTAAACTGCTGCCCCGTTCTATTTATGATGTGCTGACACAAAGTTCAAATGATTTGCAACAGTCGCTTTGTAGACAGCCTCAAGCTGTTGTGGTGTAGACAGTGTAACACTGGAGTAAGTGTTATTATGGATTATGGACATATTACTCATATTATAGTATTTCGATCAGAAGCATCAGTTTTAAGATAAAGCATCTTAATAATGGATGTCTATTACAAACACACAGCTTTTCACTTCACAAGACTTTAATTGATGGACTGGAGTCATGTGAATTACTTGTGGATTTCTTTGATGTTTATCAGCTGTTTGGACTCTCATTCTGACGGCACCCATTCACTGCAGAGAATCCATTGATGAGCAAGTGATGTAATGGTACATTTCTTCAAATCTGCTCAATCAGTTCAACTCATCTACATTTTGGATGGCCTGAGGGTAAGTACAATTTCAGCAAATTTTCTTTTACTATTCCTTCTAAGTCAGATTAAACATTGTGCAGCACAAAAGGAAGTGATTCACTTACCCCTAATGCCGCCATGTGTCTACTGCTGAGGGTCTGGCAGCCGGGCTTCTTCTGCGAGACACAGGGTGGTGTTAACACTGCATCCTGTGCTCCACTTCACACAGCTGCAAAAAACACGCACAGGAATTTATTTATTTACACACATTTATACACAAAATGATTGCAAGGAAATAGACTATTTTCCCCTTTGCCTTTTCAGAATGCTTTCAGTAAATGATATTTTCCGTTTTCAAGATCAAGCCAAATTGAAAATAGTATGGAACTTTTTTCCCCATGTCTTTCCTACAACTGTACTATGGGGTTACAAAAAATGTATGCAGCATCTTTAAGATAAAACCGTTTGTTGATCACAAACTAGATATGCATGATTATGTCGGTGGCTAATAATAAATGTTTCATTTATAACAGAATTATTAATTATTTTTATTATAATATCAATATACATTAAATTATCACCAACACAATATAATTTACGATATACATAAAATATCAGTGATGTGAATTACAATTTGCTGACACTTCTCTAAGATGCCCACACATAAGTTTCTTGCTGGCCTTCTTGAGTCCAGACAGAGAGACTTCCAGTCTGGGAGTTTCTGCCTGTTCAATAGCCTGTGAAATTAGTGCACTTAAACCAAAGACATGAATGTAGGTCATCTAAGGATATGAGTAACTGTGTATAATCAGAATCACAACAGAACCAACAGTTGAACATGTTAAGGGTGTAAGTTTCAACTAACAGGTCACAGGTGACAACTAACATTTTTCAATATTCAAGCCATTCCCAATGGACCAAGGCTTGGCCCACATTTTTTCAATGAATATCCTGTTTCACTCAGAAATGCATCACATTATGGAAGTAAAAATGGTTGTGAATAACATTTTATGTTGACTTCAGTAATTCTCTTTGTAAACTTAGAATCTAGACTTCCCAAATTCCAGTTTATGAACTAAACTTCCTGAACAAATCAACTGCAATTTAATCTACCGTTGCTGAGGGCGCCACTTTACTTTGTTGTGGTACTATAGTGACATAAAAAGAAAACAGATCTCTTTACAATACAGGAAACGGTGCCTATGACAGCCTGCAGTCTGGAGACATGCGAATCTCAGTGGTTTTTAAAATAACATGACCAATAGTTAGATCATTGCCACACAGAGTGTCCAACATTTGCTTCCAACTTTTGAAGGATCAAATTGACATTGGTGCAAATTGAATCAGTGGTAGCTTGCGTTTGGAGCAAAACCATCATGCTAGGGGTTGTACAGGAACCGAGCCGTGACTGGAAACCATCGCATCACAGCTGTACCACTTAGAGCAAAATCAAACTGAACATACCCACAACTGTACAATGTGAAAACACTTCTGAGACTTTGACCAGGGATGGTATGTTTTGTCATGTTCTTATCATTAAACCAACTATCATCATCACTGTACACAGACAACAAAAAGAACAAAACCAAACATGTGTTATCATGACAAACAAGAATTCCAGATAAGAACTTTCAAAGAATTTGCAGTGAAGATGCAAATATTTCACAGAAAAAAAAATGATACCCAAGCTTTTCATTCAATACACTCAATCACAGGACTTAAACTGAGCCAAACAACAATCTGTTCACTATCATCAGTATGAATTTTAACCTAAATTTAGCATAAATGAAACTAAATTACTAATTAACTTTTTTTTTTAAACAAATATGGTGAGAATACTACAGGTAACAATAACACAAAATTAGTGCAATAAACTTTAAAATAGAATAGATTATGAAGCACCTTAGCTTCCATTACTGAAAACAAAAATAAAACAATCATATGCGAATTCAAAACATTTTTTAAATCATAGGCTAATTCCTGTGGTAATTCAAGTTTTTTTTTTAAATCGCAAAATCCATACAGTAACAATAAAATTACAGATACATATCAGTTTACAGTTATTCACCATATATGGTATGGTAACTTACAGTTACCAAATTAACAGCTTTTTATGGCCTTTTTACTTTCGTAAAAATGATTTTTAAAGTGTTAGTTCACCTAAAACTATTTTTTTTACACTCATGCCATTTTAAATACATATTCTTGTATTTTGAATACAAAAGGACAAATGTCACACTTTTCTTTTTCTGTACAATGACACTAACTTTGGCCAAGGTCAGCATGTTTTGTGTTGTAATGTGTTCTTATAATGAAAAACATTATAGAGCACAAGTTGCGTTTTACAGTAGTGTGATTTTTTTTTCCTTTTAATGCTACACAAAACTTACTCAGGTTTACACCAGAAAAATGTGTAATATATACCTCATGAAACCAAACTATTGATTTGATATATAAAAAAGCCAAATAAACCAGTAAACAAATAAACCTGAGGACAGTTTAAACCTCTCCTACTCCAGACACAGCTCTCCATTACACATGCAGTCAAAGATTGTCACAAATTCAAACTCCGCTCGAGCTTTCTACAAAAGAAACCAAAATCCACTTTCGGCCAGGACACACAGTGGGGTTTACGAACAGAAACTGCTTTGACGAACTGGCAGCACTCAAGCTAGTGGTCACAGGCAATGCCCTAACCTGACCCTAAAGAAAGGGCGTCTCATATGCCACAGGTGAATATGGTTTTCATAACAGGGTGTGTCAAACATTTTCATAGAAAGTGTCCAGCAGTAACACCTTTCGCCCAGTTTCTCACACATTTGCTGCTACAAAGGATCTGCTGTTATCCGTCAGTGGCTATTGAAGTGCTCTGAGAGATGGCCGGTCACACAGACACTGCCAGCTGTATGAAGCGCTCTGTGAGGAGCTAATGAAGCGCCACAGTAAGACAGACTTACTAAGCAGGCCAGTTTTGTCTCTGGAAAAATGGGTTTGTATGTGACCCCAACGCTTAAATGAACACGGCCCGGCAATCAGACAAAAATAGTAGTTCACGCTTGTTACAAACAGTCTTTTATGGCCTGGTGCTAAAAAAAAAATCATCAATTGAGGAGTGTTGGGTCTGTTTGAGGAGCTGGGAGCAACTCTACACCTACAGAGCCGGACTATAAGATTGCTGAACAATTGAGATTTACTGATGTCATTCAGCAACCTGATAATACCGCTTTTCAGAGTGCAAGAGCACCTGGCCTAATTAATTATTAAATGACAAATTCAATAAACCCTTACAAAAAAAGTATAGTGGCAGTACCATGGAACAGCAATGATATCAGATTGTAAAAACATGGTATTTTGATATGGTGAGTGATGGAATAGGGCTACACGATAAATCGAAATGGAATCGAGATCGCGATTCGACAGAAGCTGCGATTGTCATGCGTAGCTTTCAGTGAAGCACTGTTCTGTGATCAGCAGTAAATCTCCATCCAAAGGCCAGAGGGCGCTCTCGCACCTCGCAGAAGAAACCCAGAAAATGCCTATCGCTGCAGCTGAATAAACAGAAGATTCAACTGCTTTCATTGATTCAACGTGACTAATAAACACACAACTACGGCAATATACGGTTTATCGGAGTTCTTCTTATTATAATTTTCATTAAAATAAAGTATATTTATAATGCAATGCCTTTATCACTGCTTAAATACTATCAAATATGTTGCGTGCCTTATTCTGTGCAACAAGCCACATCCTCTCACAGAAGGATTTATTTCAAACACTCGACTGACGTTATGAAGTGAGTTTGGAGTAAAAAATTTTATTAAATGTGGTATTTTCACATGCTTTCAGATAGAGCAGCATTTACTTCACAGAGCCGTAGTTCACTGAGAAGCTATGCAAACAGCTGTCATTATCGCGAACAATTTCATAAGCGATTTTTTTGCGTAACTTGTCAGTGAACTACGGCTATGTGTAGTAAATTCTGCTCCATCTGAAAGCACGTGATGATGATTTCCTGCTGATTACAGAACCGGCATTACTATCAAAATGCACAAGACAATCGCATTCGATTAATCGTGCAGCCATATATGGAATACTTACATTTGCACGGTAGTCCAAGGTATATCCAAGAAAACCATGGTACCATATCCAAAAAATATTGTTAGTAAAGCACAAACTTTACATTATTATCTAGTTTAAGTTACTGGGGTTAAATAGTACACCTAAAATGCACTTAACTCATAATAAAGTGACCTTACAGACTTTGGATCATCTTGTTTTACAAAAAAAAAAACACTAAACATTTATATAAAATCAGAACTGACCCCAATTACTTTCTAGATATACATTCCTGGTCATATTTGTGACCTGAAATGACCATTCATCAATGTATATCAAGTCACATTACAGTATAAATCAGTTTCCAAAGTTCTCACAAAATTCATACCATAACAAAAGAACCAGAAAAGGAAAAAGACACTGGTCTAGGAAGTCAGACTGACAAGAAAATTACAAACAATTTTAAATATCTCTAGAAACCTACAGTATTTTTAAGCAACTCGATGAAAGTCCAACCGAATATACTGTAAAAATGATGTCTTATACAAACAAACTAGACAGGAAGCAGCCCAAGCCACAATTACTAGTTTAAATACTTAATCAGAATTAAGTCAATGGTGTGGAAAGCATTTCAACACACAAGCCATTTAGCCAAAAAAATTCTTGAAATAAACCAATGTAGATGTTGCAACCATTTCATAAAAGCAATAACTGATGTGGCCCCATTACCACACATCAAGATGTGCATTCATTTTAAATAATTCAATAGTCTGTGAATTCTTTCTTAGCAGACACTTTCTTATCAGACTTATCTGGCTGTACATCTACTAAAGAAAAGTGACCTTTGTAATACTGACCCAGATCTGAAAGCATCACCACTGAAAAATTAATAAGTTCGTCAGACAAGAAGGCACGACTTTATTAGTAAAATCCCATTTCTCTTAAATTCCAGTAGTTAACCTCATTAAAAACATCAAAATCACACCAAATATGGGTTCATCGGCTTATTGCATGAAATCCTTTAACAAGGAATGCATTGTTCAGCTCTCTAAAAATCTTCGCCAGTTTTTACAGGCTATAGGACGAACATTTACATTGAATTGAATCTTGTTTGTGTTCCAGAATGTGTAATCACACAGAGAGATTCTAAGTTTGAAGGTTGTCTCCTTG